ATGAAGCAGAAGTCAACGAGATGGAGACCAGTACGGAAGAAGATACGTCCCGTAAAATTAAGAGACTTTGTTGAATTGTAATTTTGTGTTTGTAATTCTGTACATTTAATTAAGTTATTGTTAATTGTTAATGGTTTATTGTATGTGGCTATTGTTCGGGACGAACAATACTAAGGAGGGGACAGTGTTGCGTCAGCGAGGTCACGCCACCTATTTTCTAGAAATATCCTGTTCCTTCGTGAATGCCCTAGCATTTACTAGATATATGTTAGTGTGGTATATATATAAGACGCTCACAACGTGACGGGACAATGTGTGTAGGTAGTGAGTAATTGAACTGCAGTCAGAAAGTATTGTTGAAGTTAACGTTTGTTATAGAGCGACTGTTGAAAATAAGTGTATCGGTAAAGTTATATTCGGAAAGAATAAACCAGTTATATTAAGTAAGGACTTATGTCGCTAAAGTTCCATCGGAACGAAGTTACGGAAAATCAATTAACGACTGGAGGCGTAACAATACCTTAGCAAGTTTAGCATATAACAAGTTACAAGATAAAAAATGAGAAAATAAATCACTTGTTATTCTTCAGCAGTCAATCTTTATTATTCGTTCTGGCATGGGAAGATCAGTAACATTTTTCAGATAACTGTGGTACAGAAATAACTCGTGATTTAGCAAGGCTATTGACCAAACAAGGTAAGGTTTAACTTTGTCATTTGTTTAAATGTTTTAATTGAAGCAGCATATTTTTGTCTTCAAAGAAATCACTACTCATAGTTCTCACACATTTCAAATAATTATACTGAATTGATTTTCATATATTTGGTGGAAGTAAAGATCCTTTAAATGATAATAACAAGATTTTAAGCAATTCTGATAAGCTTTTCTTGTTCATTACTGCTATATGTTACATTATCAACTAATTTGCGAGTCAGAGAGTCATTTTTGATGGATTGATTCCCAAACAAAGCTTTTCAGCACTCTCGTTTTTTTTTAAATTCTGAATATATATATATATATATTTGAATTCCTTACAGTATCTATAATCTGAATTGCTCTTTAGCGTGGCCGAATTCATACTAGTTTTCGGGCTGAGGGAGAAAAACCTCCCATTCAAAACACGGTAATGGCCACTCATGTTGTGCAATACAAGATCTGGTTCCTCAGGTACATAAAATCGGTTTCTCTGTGGTTTTCGTCATTTATGTCGGTAGAATGATAAACTCTTAGAGTGCCATATAAAATGTTTTGATAATACCGAGTTTCAAGTTCCCTTTCACGACAATACATACATCACCAATGTGTGCAAAAGTAGTACTCTGGCATGCCCACTCATCATTATCTGTGTTCTGACTGCTTCTGCTTGGAATCGCAAATAAATACTCGCCAAGTTAGTTGCAGAAGATAGTCTGGTATGTAAAGGATGAACAAGCGGCAGTAGCTGTAGCACAAGCAGTAGCAGGGGCAGTAGTAGTATTAGTATTAGTAGTAGTAGTAGTAACAGAAACAGTAGCAGCAGTAGCAGGGGCAGTAGTAGTACCAATAGTAGTATTAGTAGTACCATTAGTAGTAGTAGTAGTAGTAACAGAAACAGTAGCAGCAGTAGCAGGGGCAGTGGTATTAGTAGTACCAATAGTAGTAATAGTAGTAGTAACAGAAACAGTAGCAGCAGTTGCAAGGGCAGCAGTAGTACCAATGGTAGTATTAGTATTAGTAGTACCAATAGTAGTAGTAGTAGTAACAGTAGCAGCAGTTGCAGGGGCAGTAGTAGTACCAATGGTAGTATTAGTAGTAGTAGTAACAGAAACAGTAGCAGCAGTAGCAAGGGCAGTAGTAGTACCAATGGTAGTATTAGTATTAGTAGTACCAATAGTAGTAGTAGTAACAGAAACAGTAGCAGCAGTAGCAAAGGCAGTAGTAGTACCAATGGTAGTATTAGTAGTACCAATAGTAGTAGTAGTAGTAGTAACAGAAACAGTAGCAGCAGTTGCAAGGGCAGCAGTAGTACCAATGGTAGTATTAGTATTAGTAGTACCAATAGTAGTAGTAGTAGTAACAGTAGCAGCAGTTGCAAGGGCAGTAGTAGTACCAATGGTAGTATTAGTAGTAGTAGTAACAGAAACAGTAGCAGCAGTAGCGACAGGGAAACATCGCCAGCATGGTTTTATCTCTGTTGTGGGTCAATCAGGATCTAACATTCATAGACACTTTTTATTTGACTGATCGTGGTATACCAATATGACCAGTTTTATTTTTTTGAAAGAGAGACAAAGTCCAGCTAAACCAGCACATCTTTGTAACCAAAAACTACTGAGATATTTTTGCAATAATGTGTGTGTTTTTTAATTAACAGAACGAGTCCTTTATCGAAGTATATTTTTTTCTTCTCACTTGAATACTGGAAACTGTGACACCTCTATATAGCCCACGCAAATCTCACAGAGTGAGTGTTAATAACAACATGAGTTGAAAATTATCTGAGCCTTTTAATAATATAAAGAAAATTTGGAAAGCTGTTTTGATTTAAAAGGGCCATGAAAAACTTAATGAATAGTAAAAAAAGGAAGGGATTTATGCTTACCATAACCTGCAGAGAGTCAAGGAAACTACTGTTCCTATGAGAAATTTTAAAGGTGAGGTTGATAATTTGTAAGAAAGTGACATAGCTTAAGTGCTAGGCAGTTTTTACTGATGAGGGAGGATAGCAACTTTCCAAGCTGGCCAATTTCTTTTTAGGATAGGGGAATTTTTTATATTCTATTCTCATTTATAAAGATTTGTTTCGAGAAACTTGCAGATAATGAATATTCTGGTTCTGATGAAATTTATTCTTAAATCTTAAAGAAGCATGACAAAAAGTTTTTGGAATCTTTAAGAGTTATCAGGAAAAATTACCTAACACTTAGAATATTCCTGATGATTGAAAGGTTGTTATTTATATAAAAAGGGGCCAAAGGAGGATTTAGGAAACTACATTTATAGATTCTCGACTAATGAGTTAGAATTAATTGTTTTGATTTTTTCTTTCTTGGATAAGGGTAACCCTGTTGAACAAATGCATCTTGGCTTCCATAATGCCTGTGAGGAGGTTTTTTGAAAAGAGATTAATTAGTAAATTGATTGTCATAACTGAAAATGTAAAAAAAAAGATGAAATTGTAACTTATCAGTGGAAACCAAGAAGTAGTGATGAAAAGGCTTTTTTTGTATGAAAATATGACCAGTAAGGCTCTTTTTTATTATGTTTATGATTCGTTTTTATGTCAATTATTTAAATAGCTATTTGTACTGTAATGTTTTTTACTTAACTGATACTAGAATGCTGGGAAGAACTTTCAGGGTACCTACTTTGGTTCTGGTCACATCACTTGCCAAGCGGACTCATTCATGGTTACAATGGCCTGCAAAGGTTAAGCTGCCAACCAAACACCAACGACCATAACTCTCCGAACCATGCTTCAGCAACTGCCTGTATTGAAATGGCACTGCCAGACTGAGGTTACAAGGTCGACTGAAGGAGGAAGACTACAGCTGAAGTGTGGGGATCCAACATCACAACTGAAGGAGGAGTACCACAACTTTGTTCCAAATTGGCCAGAACAAATAAAGCTCTGGCAAAAGCAAAAGAAATCATTTGCCATACAATGGCTATTAGTTGAAAGTCCACTGTCACCTTAGAGGATCTATTGTTTGGTTTAAACTAAATTGAGTATTTGGCAGCTTAAACTGCCTTTTCCTCTACCACCTTTCATTTTATTAAGATATGATGTAAATAGGCGACTTTACCCTTTGATTTTCATAACTTGTATTTCAAGGATTGAGTGTTTGTGTAAAAATGTACAACATTTAAAATTATCCTTCTTCGTGATGAGCTCCTGCGTATGAATTATATATATATATATAAGAGAGATGGCATTATGAATGTATAGTAGTAATATGTGACTTTAAAATGTTAATTTTGTTTCATTGCATGTGCAGTCACTTGTAAATATATAAAATCAATTATGTATTTTTGTATAAAGATTATCTTTGGTTTATATATGTATTCATGATATTAGTATGTTTTATTTCTGAATATTAAGAGGGTTATTTTATCTTGGTTTGCTTTTTTAATGGGATCGTTTGTTTGAAATTAAGCACAAAACTACACAATGGGCTCTGCCCACCACGGGTATCGAAACCCAGTTTCTAATTTTGTAAATTCGCAGACATACCGCTGTACCACTGGGGGCTTTTAAAGTGAACTTTTGATTTTGGTATCTTTTTCTTTTGTTTTTTACATGAAGGGATTGATTTATACGTCTGTGGTTTTAATATAGTTTTACTATATTTGATGCCAAAATGTTTTGTCTTGTATGTTTTTTATTTTATCTAAAAAATTATTTTCTTTTGCATTTTATTTTATTTTTTGTGCAAAAAGCTTTAATTTGGGTTGATAATTGCATTATGTCTTGTTTTTGTTTTTACAGGGGCAAGATAATTTACACCATTTTTTTAAACCAGTACACAAATTATTTCAATATTAAATTTTAGAGTGAGTGATGGTCTGAAGATAAAAAGGAGAGAAAGGATGTATTATGCAGACATGTTACGTGTTTGTTACCATCTTATTTAACAGAATATTTTTCACAGATGTTCATGCATAAATGTATATGTAGTTTTAAGTCAGAAAACTCTGGTCAAGGCAGTAGCTAAGTTCCTTCTCCCTAGTTACCTACTGAACTGGGTCATTCACCTATGGTATCACGTGTGCCTTCTTGCGAGAAATATTTCTGTAAACTAGAAATTCTCTACTATCGAGTCAGGTGATACCTTAAGGATACAACCTCCTATTTTTCGATGACCAACAACGATAATAGTAGTGCACGCACCCTGGGAAAGAATATCATTTTTGTCTCACGTATATATATATGTTTTTTTTCTTAGTCTGGAACAGCTCTTCTCATATTTTTACCGACTTCAAACAGATCTTTCTGAGAGCTCTATCTCCAGTGAAGACCCCTTCCTTTATTCACATTCGCCAACTTAATAGTTATTTATCTCGAATAAACATTGTGTTCACATTAATTTACATAGTGCTCAGTCTCATTCTTTTCGCAATTCAGTCAAAGGCAGAGAATTCAACCTTACTTTCGTAAAACATTTTCTGTCGAACGTCATGTTTAGCATTAAAAGAACATCAGCCATATCACTGAGCCACTGGGAAGGGGGCTCAGTGTACCTCAGGATACCACAACAGTAAGTATGTATTTTGTGTACTAAAAGTAATTTGCAAATCTTCTTTACGTGTTCTGTATACAAACAGTTGAATTAATTTAGTTAATAAAAAAATCATAACGAAAAGAAGCTCGCAGTAAAGAGGTAATAAAAAAAGGTGCTAACTTCACAAGAAAATGCTTATTAGAAAAATATTTTCATCCAAAACAAGGGTTTGGTCATTTATTCACAAGACAAAAGGTTCTCTCGTGATGCTTATACAGGAATACTCGTTTCTGTTACATTAATCTGTATCATTTAGACTGTTACCTATAACCTGATTGATTATATCAGTATACACTCAGTGGGCTGGAATTACAAGTCGTCGTTAAGGGCCTGCCGTGTTTTAAATGGATTAGATTAATTTCTTGCGAGACAAGTCGTTATTATATGCAACGTGACTATATATTTGGCTATTATTCAGAACTTGAATGGGAATACGTCAATGTCGCGAATTAATTCATAACTTTAACAGAAGATGTTAGTAAACCAGCAGTCTTTTTCTTTTCCTGGCCCTTATGGTTCAGCGATAAGTCTGAAGGCTTGTAACGCTAAAAACCGGGTTTCACTACTCGTGGTGGGCACAGTGCAGATAGCCCATTGTGTAGCGTTTCACTTAACAACAGCTATTTTTTTTCTTGGGTAAGTAAATCGTTGTAGTTAGTGATAGTTTAACTAATTTCCATTTTGTTTATTTTACGTTTATTTTCTTGTACGGATTGTTTTAATTTGGTGTTTCAAAATGTGAGCTTAGTGAAATCATGAAAGTGTTAAACGTGATCACTTATTCGACAGATTCTTATGTATTTTTAGAGCCTGTTAATGACACCTTGGTTTGTAATGTTCGTGACAGTCTATTTTTTAGCATTGAAACGCTGATATGTGTGTGTGTGTGTGTTTATGTATGCCAAATTTTCTTTAAATATAGTTTATACTTAGCGTTCCTTTTTTCTTATCGTCCTTTTTTTAGATAATGTTAAAATTCTGTTACAGTTCCGCCTTTTTTGAATATTAGAACAAACGTTAATTTGAACTTATGAATGAAAATAAAAATGTAAAGCAAAATAATTTTACTTTTACTGTTATTTAAATTAAACTGTTAAAACGAGTCCAAAAACACAAAAACCTTGGTGCTAAAAGACAGACAAATAAAACTAGGTAACAAACAAAAAGTTTGATAAGGATAAATTATACCTTATTAAGAAAGGTGTATGGATAAATAGCTTCTACGCCATCTATCATATTTGATAAGTTGTAACTCGATAAGAAGGGAGTCTGGAGAAGTAGAATCCACGCTATCTATCATATTTGGTAAGTTGTAACTCAATAAGAGGGGTGCCCAGAGAAGTGGAATCAACGCTATCTATCATATTTGGTTAATTGTAACTCAGTTAGAGTGGTTCCTGGAGAAGTGTGATCTACACCATTTATCATATGTGATAAACTGATAAAGAAAGAAAGAGAAAAAATTAAATAAAGAACAGACGTGGGTGTTCAAGCCCACACAAAGTCCACATCTAACACGACCATTCATCTTGTGCCGTCAGTTGTAGGAAGATAGCTGCTCCTGAAGAGACAGAATTATAAAATTAAATAAAAACAGATTATAACTTCCGGCCATAGAGAGTGATAAATAAAACTTATCTCCTCAAGCTGGTATTCCAGCCCACGCAATATTCTAATACGTACATAAAGAGTATAATAAAATTATTACTCTATACACTTTTTTGGGACTTGAATGAAAAATGTTTCATTTGTTGAATAGCAGTAATATCTAACCTAGACATCTCTATATTTTTTATGACTTAACTATGTTTTAGAGTTATGTAAACTTAATACGTTCCCATCCTGGAATTGGATCCTCCGCCTAAGGTTCTAACAAAAAAAACAAGCAATAGCTGTTACCAACTGTGCTAACTTGTTATCCCGTTAGCTCTACTAAAAGAACACTTATAATTCACTTAATGTATTAGGCTACCACAGTCATTCCTTCTCACAACGGCACATCCTCCACCTTAAAAAAAAAAAAAAGAAGTTCGAATTGAGTATGTTTCTGTGGTACTCAAAAGGTGTCGCCACTAACACTAAAGTCAATAATCAACTCTCACTATTCGACCCTCTTAACAAAGACATAAAATAAGTGCTTTTTCTCCCTCCTTATTTACTATAAAAGGATCAAACAAATACTAACACAATGGCCAATCATGAAAACTGTAAATGAAAAACAAGTCACAGCAAATATTGATCATGTTTTCGCAATCCTTGCATTTAATTTCTACTAATTGAACTAAAAGGGTTAACAAAAAAAAAAAACTACAGTTAGTAAGGCACTCTTTAATTAATTTCTAAAAATGGGTGTACAGCATTATATCGAAAAGAAATTGTTATTAGGATGAATATTATAGCTTACACCTCTTTAAAATATAAAGTAAGTTCATACTGAAAACTCCATTGATCAGAAAATGTATATGGTAGCCGAAGTATTGTAGCAATTGAGAGCAAAGATATTATATACTTATAATTTTATACTTTGATTTTACCTCGAACTTGTAACAAAGACAGCTGCAAGTTAGTAATGTATTCATCACGCTTACCTTTTTATAAGATTTCCCAGCAAAAGGAAGAAAGTGTTTGGTTTTATGGTGTTTTTGAAAATTTATTGGTGTTTTCTATAGAGGAACGGCAAATTTGGGATTATTTTAAAGTATTTTCTTATAAATAATAAATATTCCCTTTCTTTGACTTTTGATATCTTACTAAGAACGTATTTAAACAATTACTGGCTGAACTATGTTTATTTTGTATCTATGCAAGTATTGTGCCGCCCATTTTTCTTTTTTTTTTGTACCCTGTTTTAAATATTTAATACACGAGTTATAGAGCCATATATGTGTTTTAATACATGAGTTATAAATGTTTAATGCACTAGTTATAAATAAAATTAATGATAGAATAAAATCACAAACAACTAAAAATAACAATCAAATTATCTACGTTAAACAACGATTTAAAAACATTTTTTTTTTTTTGGTCTATTTGAACAGAAAAGTGGAAACATCAATTCAGACGAAAGTTTGGACTGTTAGACTGTTGGGCTTCATGAGCCTTCGGGACAGCATTATTTGGCTTAGTGGCGAAATATTGAGAGAATAGAATATTAGATCATTTCTTAGTAAGAACCATCTCCAATTTCTTCGGGAAAGTAATGTTGAAGTTTTGCTTCCAATGAGTCTTTATAATTGGTCAAAGAGATAGAATGTGGCCATGTGTCAACAAGAGTGGATGACAGAAAGATTTTCCATGCTTAGCAAACCGGCCTGCAACAGATTATATTATGGATAGGTCACCTTGAAAGACACCATCGTCTATGGGATCATAGTGCTGCATCATAGGGTGGATCTGGTTGGTCTTTGTGGATGTTCTTATGCCACTTATTTGTTATCCTTCCTTTCATTATAATGACTTGACCAATTTCATACCAGGAAAGCGATACTCATTTTATGACCTAATTGCCTGTACCTCGTGTACAGTTGAAACCAAGCACTCATAGTACACGCATATTTACAGTTTAGCCACATATGAATGCATATATTAGATTTAAAAAAGGGCTCATTTGGATAATAATAATAATAAAATTTGCCATAAATCATGATCCACAGTTTTTGTTCATTGCATCTTTGTACGTTTCTGAAAATACTGAATATCTTGTGGATAGCCGACATTGCATCGTGCAGTTGTATTTTAATACTGGTTGATGATGCTCTAGACTGAACTATGACCAAATTAGTTGCTTTTGTCTTCCTGATTTTTTGTTCCACAATGCGACTCAATAAGTTGCGTTTCCGATCGCACATATGGAATTTCCTGGCAATGTTGCTCTTTGCATTTTACCATATGAAGTCGGATGACAGTACTTTAGACACTGTATTTTTGAGACATCGTTAAGCTCTGGAATCTTGGTTATAGAATTATCTACAAGGTTGACCTTTTTTTTTTGTTATTTCTGTTTCGAAGTATGCTGAAATTTTTGCTGGAAGCTATGATGTCTAAAACTGAAACATAGTAACAATGGTTAGTTCTAATGGTGATTGTTAGTTCTGACCGTATGCACTCTGACACGTGGAAATTATATTTCGTGTTCGACGTGCAGGATTTTCCTTTTATATTAAGACGTTTTGTTGCCTGTTGAAACTAGCAAGTACGTTAACTTAGTTTTCTAACTTCTACTTATGGGGTTATATTGCTATCATACCAGTTTATTGTAGGCATCTTTATTGACAGTTGTAAGTGTGTGTATATGTTAAAACGAATATCTTATTGAATGAAAAAGACCTGCTGTAGATCTTCTATTCTTTATACATTCATGTTGAAACTACAAGCCTTTTTTTTGACGCCATAAACGCTTAGAACAGTTTATTCTTTGGTGTTTCAAGTGGTAGTGCTTTTTCGAACTAAGGAATAGTTTATAGATAACTCACTTTTGAACTTCAAAAAAACAAAACAAATATCTACAACGTGAAGAACAGATTGTTTTCTGGTTCAGTAGTTGTGTTCTGTGGCATTTTTATTTTAAACACAGGTGTTTATGACACCATCGCGTGCTTGTAGCAAATATAGGGACGACTGTGCGATATCGTACGCTCACTTGCGTTTTCCCACTCCTGCATAAGTACGGCATCAAAAATTGATTATGAATTAGGTGTATTCGCCATACACTTATAATGTAGAGTGCAGTTGTAGTCCTTGTAGGCGTTTGTATATAACGTTTTGAACCTTTACGTAGAGTGTTGTACATTATGGTTTAGAATTCTAACTTTTCACAAAGGTCGGTATCAAGGCACTGTGACTCGAGATGCTGTTACAGGTATAGGGATTGAAGATACCATCTTGGTTTTAGTTGGATAAATGCTTTTATTCCCACACTTTTTAAATATAAGATACGATGTAGTAACGTTACTTTATTAGTCGTCATGTTATTATTTTCAAATCTTTCTCCAAATGCAATTATAAAGTTTTGTACTAATTATATATTACTGCATTTCCGTTACATGCTTTATTTGGCCAGGAAATTCTAAAGGAAGTCAAATTTTGAAGTTTACTGCCACAAACAGCAAAAAAACTTTCATTTGTAGAAGCTGCAAATGTGAATACCACATGTAACAAATACCATGCAACAACCAACAGACCAAAAGAAGACGATAGAAAAAACGTAAATATAAGATGTGTAACCTCAACTGATAAAATATTTCTTCTTGAGACATCAAACCATAAGCTTTCTTTGTATTTAAAATATTTAGCACACACACAAAAAAAAGACCACTTCGTATAAGGTAATATATATTGTCGTTTTACCCATATAACTCGAAATAGATTATTGGATTTTATTCCTACCTAAGTAGCCATGTTTTTATTGTTGCTATAGGAGTAAACGCGGACTAAGAATGGGATTATTTTTGTTTCAGACGTCTCAGAGCTCATATGTTACTGGTTGGTAAATATAAGAGCTATGAAAGAGTTCAGTCATCCAACTTGCTACATGAAGTTCCGCTATAAAAGATATTATTCTAGAGAATCTGAGGTCGAATCATAGGCGTTTCGGGAAAAGCTTAAGGAATGAGTCAGCAACACAAGCATCATCTAGTTTAGTAAAAAATAGTAGTATGCCTTAATATAATATAAACAAACAGCGTGGTAAAGCGATATGAAATATGTCAGAATAATGACTGAAAATACACGTATATCTTTATTTTGTGAAATAGCGAAGCTGTAGAACTGGTGTTTTTTTTTACTAGACTAGATATAGTTGAGGAAAGATGTTAGTTTTCAGGATTTTTTTTCGTATTAAAGGAGAGTTTTATATTCAAAGGTATGACTAATGCTCTCTAAAAAAACAGATGACATCAGTTTACGGTTTGTGCTGTGAATCTTAGTTGCCTCTTCATGCTGTAAGTTTAGTCGTCGTGGTGAAATGTAGAGATCTGGATGGGAGACAGTTGTGTAACAGGTTTGTAACACACACACATGACTAAGGTTTAAATTTCCATTTCTAAACTTCAATGACAGGTTTTGTCATCGTTTAAAGAGGAATCGCGTCTGTCTAACGGATAAGTGACGAACTTGATGTTTGGTTATGGGGAGAACATAATGCTTCAAGTTGTTAAAGTAAAAAAAAAAATTAATATTATAAAAAATAAATACCATATTGTATTAACAGACACGTTGGAGACATGTGATGAAGTTTGCAGAAATATTATAATATCCGTCATAAGTTAACAAAGTAGATTTAGTTTTAAACATTTAAAACAATCATAACAAATAAACGACCACTGAATATGTGTTTTAAACTACTTACTTAACTTCAGCTTCCAACTCATGATAGGTTGCCGTGGGCACGTGTGTTCTTTTCGTGAAGCAAATACGTTCATTTTAAGGTTGTTGGTGTAACAAACATTCATCGTTTATAAGTTGTAAAATATGTGAAGAAGAAAAAATTAAAAATGAACGAAACTCGACCTTTCTATTCGTGTAAGTTTTTGTAAGGTGAATAAACCATAAAATAAATAGACAGTTTTCAAACAAATATGCATAAAACTACGGTTTACTAGTTTATATGTTAAAATTATTATGAATTAGGTAGCGAGCTGACTTTTATGAACAGTTTTAACAGTGATAATGACCCCACCCCACCCCATGAGTGTATTCGTTAATTTTTTAATTGATAGTTGGCTACCCTGGTAAACCCGAGTGTCTCCATGGGACCTCTGTTTATCACGTTTCTACTACGGAATCGTGTATTTCATGATCAGGGTGTTCTTGCCCCAGATCTGCTTTAATAAATTCATCCTCTTTTTGACTTACGCAAGTGATCTTTAAGTAGCTGGATAACCGACTTATTGGATCCTGTGCTTCTGTTATAAATACCATAAGGCCCTCTGTATTACTGCGCTATTAAGTCCTTCCACCTCCATCCAACCACATCTTTTACTGACTATATTTATATATATATATATACCAGCTGGAGTACTCGGAAGTTATGTAAATTCATGATTAATGAAAGTTATCTTATATGCTTCCCTTATATGTAATTATAAAAAAACGCCCATAAAAACTGCAAAACAGAAATTATGAAACCGCAACTTTGCACGTATCTCCTCATGGACCCTACAAACCTTCTTACCAAATTTGGTGATGATCCATCAATGGGGGACGAAGTAATGGTAAAAAACGACCATAAAAAATGCAAAACTGAAAATTTGTATGTACCTCCGCATGTACCTAATGAACCTCCATACCAACTTGCGTGAAGATCCATCCAAACCCAGCGAAGTGGTTACATGTAGATACAAGAGACAACAGACAGTAATATTATATTTATATAGATATATATACATGAAAATGTTACAAATTTCTTTTCTTTTTCACCAAAGGTAAAATTGAAAAGAGAATCTGTGACGTAGAGGCCTAATGCACTCTTTGATTGGTCATACCATCTACTGTAGACTGTAGTCTCGCCTATTCAAGGCTCATCATCACATTTTGGGTCAGCAAATAAAAACAAATACAGTTAGGCTTGTTATAATGGTGATGCGTAAATAAGATTTATATGGCTTTTAAGCCCTCTTTAATTCACTATATAGTAACCTAAATTAACGTAAGTGTGTGAATGTTAGTACGGCATTCTGTCGAATTCATTATTCAATATTTACCTTTTTCTGTCCACACTTCTCATGCATAAGTTTCAATAGGATAGAGTAAAATAGTGAGAAACTCAGTTGAATCATTCATAATCTATTTATTTCTCATCCTGTTCTGATATTTTACAGTGGTTCACTGTAATCTGCATTAGTGTAGCACTGATGTTATTTTAATCAGAAAACAAGTAAATATTAACTGGATTTGAAGACTGGCAACTTGCTCTACTGTACTTACGATTATCGTCAATGTTTTTATTACGGTTTCTGTATCGTCCAGTTCGATAGTAAATCCCAGCACTGATGTTATTTTAATCAGAAAACAAGTAAATATTAACTGGATTTGAAGACTGGCAACTTGCTCTACTGTACTTACGATTATCGTCAATGTTTTTATTACGGTTTCTGTATCGTCCAGTTCGATAGTAAATCCCCTACGTACTGTAGAGAGGCCTGTAAGAAATAATCTCGTTACCAGGACGATTTTTTTATTTTATCTTATTTTTTATGTCTGTTCGTCCCCTTTAGAAAACAGGTTTTGTTGTGAGCATAGTAACACACGCTTGCGTCCCAACAGCTGTCGATTTCGTCCCCTGTCCAAGGGTAATTGCCCTCTTCTTCTTCCCCTCTTGGTATCTACCGGAAGCTAATTTTACTAGACAAATATGGGTGCCGCTACACTCGTAGTGGGCTAAGCTGTTTCCTTCCAACACGCTTGTGAAAGGTTATTACCTGTTATTATGTTTGCGTTTGTTTTATTTCTAAATAATTACATATTATATATGTATGTATTGGCAAGCTTAATCGGTAATCGAATTATTTGAAATTCGATTTTGATTTCGAGTAAACTATTAGGAGTAAACACGATTAGAATCTGTTGTCTTTGACTAAGATTCAGTAAAGGTATTTTTGTTCTTTTGATATTTGCTTTTACCCATTCAATTTCAAGCACGGAATATATATATATTGGTGACTATAAAAGAGTGTGTGTCCCCCGGAGAGTCAGAGGTGACATTACGGACATACAACGCTAAAATCTGAGGTTCGATTTCCCGCGGTAGATACAGCAGGTAGCCCAATATGGCTTTGCTTTAAACCAAACAAATAAAAGAGTGTGAGTGAAATACGAACAGGAATCTTTATAAAGAATAGCGTTGTTCAGAGCGAGTTAGCAGAATGTTTTAAAATACTTGATTTTTTTTGTATAAAGTTGTTTAATAGTTCGTAAACTTCGTGCTTATAAATTCGTGTAAGATTACTTTTCCTATGGATACTTGTAGATCGTTTTGGCCTTTAAAACTCCCGATTTATTTTATTTTTTTCATGACGATACGAGTGGAATGCATGATACAGTATCCTGCATTGTTATGTACCTTGAAAAAATTATCTAGTGATGCACTGAGAAGAATGAAAGACTAGTAAAACCATTTGATTATCGAGGAGATGATTCGTCGGTAACTGCTTTTGGTCACGCTTGGCAGCTACCGCTTTTGTTCAATGATGTAGTCACGTGGCACGTGCAGCTTGGTTTCGTTGCGACCTCCCGTGACACGTGCCAGCTGTGAGGGCATATATCATATCAGTAATAGACACCATACACAGAAGCTAGGTCATCCTTGTGGTCTTGGCACGCTGCCAGATAATTAGGATTGAGGCTCGTGTGTTAGAGTTGGATGTGAAAGGGAGGACTTGAATAGCGTCAGTTAAGAGATTGCTGCGTTCGCTCTTTGTGATGTAAGGTGGATCATTTAGTTTAGCAGTCATTGTGCAACAGTTCATATTTAACAATGATTTTATGAGCAGAAATATCGCAGCAAAACATATAATGCACGAACAAGTTGAAAGTTCCAGTTAATGGTGCAGGAATTTGCTTCGAACTAAGACATCGCTCATTGTTTATATAATTCGCGAAAACTCTATTAAAATGTAGGTTTTTTGTCTGCTGTGATTCACATACTGTAATTAATTATACTAATTTCCATGAACTTGGTAGTTATATGTATACAACAGTTCATGCTTATCTCCTAAAAAAAAGAATTATCAATTGAAATTACATACATGCATATATAACTTGTATTATAACAACATTTCTCAAACATTATAAAAAAAGTCTCTTGTAAGTAGCCTAAAAAAACAGCTCCAGTTGGATACTGGAACCAATTTCTAGGATTGTAAATTGAATTTTTCAATTTGTCCTAATCATGTATAAAAACTGTGTATTACGACTTCAATAACATATCGAATAGTACATTTTAAAAGTTTACGATGGTATAAAAAAAAAACTTTGTTTGTCACAGGTCATTTACATGTATTACTTTGCACTAAAATACTTCTAAAACTATTGAAGTACACTAATCAATATATTTACGAAACATATCGAGAAGATTATTGTGTTTTAATTATACTTTGTATGTGTAATATTTTTAAACGTAGTTTGCTTCTATCGTTAAAGCGTCGGTTTGAATGTGTATAGTGACCGTAATACTTGACGTAACATTTCTCACGTGCATTCTTTTAATAAACCTGTCTTTTAGTACGTTTTTGGTTTGTATAATATCAACACATGTAATCCATAAGATAATAAACCTGTCTTTTATTACGTTTTTGGTTTGTATGATATCAACACATGTAATCCATAAGATAATAAACCTGTCTTTTAGTACGTTTTTGGTTTGTATAATATCAACACATGTAATCCATAAGATAATAAACCTGTCTTTTAGTACGTTTTTGGTTTGTATAATATCAACACATGTAATCCATAAGATAATAAACCTGTCTTTTAGTACGTTTTTGGTTTGTATAATATCAACACATGTAATCCATAAGACAGTATTCTTAAAGCTATTGTTTTAAAACCTGTCATGTAGTACTGCGTTTTTCAGATCAGTAATACTAATCAGAGGTGTTGCTAGGTACTTAAAAGATTCGGGGCTCGAGCCCATCTCACCACCCTCTCTGAGATCATGGTTTTCTATTCTGATTTTTCAAAACACCAACTGGGGATTCAGGGCACAGGCCCCGTATGCCAGCGCTTAGCGACGCCTCTGAATACTGATAGTTGCTTACTTCAACATAGAATTGTTTGTGTAATTTGTTTCAAGAGCTGTATTTGTGGTTACTGTGCCAGGACTGATGGTCCAACCCCATTATTTAACTAAACAAGAGTAGCCCAGAATTTGGCGGTGGGTGCTGTTGACTAGTTCAGTATATCTGCCTTCTTTTTTTCTATCACTTCAATATTATGGAAGGCTATGTGCAGATAGCCTTTGTGTAAGTTCACGCGAAATTCTAAAATAAACAATTGTTTTAAAATCTGTTTTATAACAACGTTTTTGACTGTATAGTTTCAGAACTCTTAAACTTTAACAAAATTGTTTGCGGAATTAAGAACTGGAAACTTGTCGTATAACAAACTTTTTAAGATATAGTTTTAAAAACGTAAACTTTAACTCAAAGTCGATTATGTACATTTGTTTTATGAACCGGAAACCTGTTTTATAAAAATAATAAAAAATAATGGATTTTGGAATTTCTGGATGCGGTGAGATTGTAAACATCGAATGCCACATGTCAGTTAGTAAAATAACTCGGCAAACATAGGCAGAAATATACAGCCGCATTTTCCACTGCTTAACATAGGATAACTGTGTACATTTTTTTTTGTGATTTTAACTATAATTTGGTGGCTCTTTGATGGCTGCTGGGGGATAGGGAGCAGCAGCAAATATCTCCTTGGCTCTCCCCCCCCCCTTCATTATGTT